TGAATGTGGATACTCTGAAAGATCAACAAATGCTCTTAATCACCAAGCCAGCCCAACCTCTCCAGCCTTGAAAACTTCATTTTAATAAACAGTAACAGCCCTGCTTCCTATTTTTGCTTAATTTCTATGAAAATGTTTACTTTGCTTGCTTCAGGTACTATGCTAAGTTTATAAACATGGCTTTGAAATATGACATTCAAATTAAATTAACAACAAAAATTCAGACTCAAAAATATAAGAAAAACACTAATCAGGGAAAAAAAAAAAAGCTTTCAGTCCTTCCTTTAGAATTAATGAAAAATTACTAAAAGAAAAAAATAAGGCTCAGGGAGACTGCAGAAGAGGCAGCAGGAATAGCACATGAGCCAGAAGCCCAAAATGCTTATTGTAAATTGTGTCTTCTAGATATGATGAGGAAACCAAATCCATGAAATCTTGACAAAACAGCAGCCTGCATAACACCTGCAGAGTGACCACACAAGCTGACATGCCAGTATTGACAGGGGTCATCTCACAAGATCCTGCCCTAAGCGGAGAGCCCACAGGCAATTAACGGCTGCTGAGAGACACACAATCAATGTTTCCAGGAACAAGCCTCCTGACAGACTATCCAATCCCAAATGCTCAGCCCTAAACACATGCACATTCAACCAAAACTAAATGGATTTGGTAAGGCAGAGGAGTGTTGTGCATAATAATAACTTAAGACGAGGAGGTCATGAATTTGAAAAGGAGTAGGGAGTGATGTGGAATGAGTTTCTGGCGAGAAAGAAGGAGGGGTAGAAATGATGTAATCATTTCAGCACCCATATGTATAATTCTAAAAAATAAAAAAATGGATAAAAAGAAAATATAATTTGTTAACTACTCTTACTGCCTGTGAACATTTATCAAAGTAATATGTGCTTAGTCATATGTGCTGTTCGCACTGTCAGACCTGTACCCAGGAAACAGAAGTTCAACACTGTCAAACTGAAGGTCCGAACACTAATGATCACACCAAATGCCCACGTTAAAGTTTTCACAAATCCATGCTGCCCTCTTCTGGACCACTTTAGACATTATGTGACCATGAAACTTCCATAACATGTAATAAAATTTTAAAAAGCTTCAACATCCTTAGTCATCAGGAAAATGTAAATCAAAACGACTTTGAGATTCCATCTTATACCAATCAGAATGGCTAAGATCAAAAACTCAAATGACAACACATGGTGGAGAGGATGTGGGGAAAGGGGAACCCTCCTCCATTGCTGGTGGGAATGTAAACTTGCACAACCACTTTGGAAATCAATCTGGTGCTTTCTCAGAAAATTGGGAATAGCACTACCTTAAGATCCAGCTATACCATTCCTGGCATATACCCGAAAGATGTTCCACCATTCAACATGGACATTTGCTCAACTGTGTTCATAGCAGCTTCATTTGTAAGAATCTGTAAACAACCTATATGTCCCTAAATGGAAGAGTGGATACAGAAATTGTGGCACATTTACACATGGACTACTACTCAGCTATTAAAAACAAGGAAATCATGAAGTTTGCAGGCAGATGAACTGGAAAAGATCATCCTGAGTGAGGTAATCCAGAACCAGAAAGACACACATGGTATATACTCACTTATAAGCAGATATTAGCCATATAATATAGGATAAACATACTAAAATCTTCAGACCTACAGAAGCTAAACAACAAAAAAAAAGGATGCTAAAATCTCATTCAGAATGAAAAATAGGATAGATACCAGAAGTGGTAGAAGAGAGGGAACAGGACGGGAGCCTATCATAGAGGTTCTCTAAAAGGCTCCACCCAACAGGGGGTCGAAGCAGATGGTGAGACTCACAGCCAAACTTTGGACAGAGAGCAGGGAGTCTTATGGAAGAAATGGGAAATAAAAGGACCCAGAAGGACAGAAGCTCCATAAGGAGACCAACAAAGTTAAAAAATCTGAGCCCAAGGGCCCCTAGAGAGACTGATGCACTAACCAAGGACCATGCATGGAGAGGACCTAGACCCCCTCTCAGATGTAGCCAATTGGCAGCTCAGTCTCCATGTGCATTCATGAGGAAGAAGAGCAGGACTGCCTCTGTCATGAACTCAATTGCCTTCTCTTTGATCACTCCCCCCTGGTGATGCTGCCTTGCGAGGCCACAGAGGAATAGGATCCAGGCAGTCCTGATGAGACTTGATAAGCTAGGGTCAGATGGCAGTGGAGGAAGATTCCCCCTTTCAGTGGACTAGAGGAAGGGGATAAGGGAAGGCGGAGGAGGGTGGGAATGGGAGGAGATGAGGAAGGAGGCTACAATCTGGATATAAAATAAATAAATCGTAAAAGAAAAATTAAAAATATTAAAGAATTAAAAAAAACTTTTAGGTATCATATTAAAGAACTTAATGTTGACAAGAAGTATACCAGTGATGCTAAATAATAATCTATATTATTAGTTTTCCAAATATTCTGCTCTAAATAGATGTACTAATAGAAAAGCAGCTCTGACAATTTAATCATCAGTATGAGAAATAAATATTAGGTTTCTATTTACCAAGAACAACAACCAAAATAAACCTACACTTTAAAAAGCCACATTCTCTGTTCCATTCCATACTTTGTTCCTTTACTTCCAAAGGCAAACCAGAATCTAAACTTGTTGCTGATCCTTCTATTTCAATTTTTATCCATGTACTGCCTGTACATGTCCCCATGAATATGCAGTATGGGATAAGGAAAAGTGTATCACACTGCCATTTTCACCTGGAAACCAACTGAGGAAACACAGAAAGCACATGCAAAGGTATCTGCTACTCCCCAAGTAGGAGACAGCCTACCAGGCTGCTCTCATTATTTGACTGCTAGCTTTAAGCTGCTACCAAAGCCATCCACCTGCTTTCTTTTTTTTTTTTATTAATTACACTTTATTCACTTTGTATCCCCCCATAAGCCCCTCCTTCCTCCCCTCCCAATCCCACCCTCCCTCCCCCTTCTTCACGCATGCCCCTCCCCAAGTCCATTGATAAGGGAGGTCCTCTTCTCCTTCCTTCTGATCTTAGTCTATCATATCCCATCAAGAGTAGCTGCATTGTCATCTTCTGTGGCCTGGTAAGGCTGTTCCCCCATCAGGGGGAGGTGATCAAAGAGCAGGCCAATCAGATTATGTCAGAGGCAGTCCCTCTTCCCATTACTATGTAACCCATAGTTACACTAAACTGCCATGGGCTACATCTTAATGGAAATGTTTTATAAAGCACTTCTCATATTTTAGAAGGCTTTTGTTCTTTTAGTATTTTTTTCAAAATCCATTTCCTTTCTCTATCAATAACCTATGTGAGAACAAAAAGTTTCAAGTATGGATGGCACTAGAACTTATAGCAAAAAGGAGGACAACAAGGTGTCATCACACCCTCGTGTGACCCACAGTCCTAACTAGAAAGGGCTGCTCTTAGTCACAGCTACCTTGCTTCTCCCTCGGATTCCACAGCTATCTAGTTTCCTTCGCCTGGATTTTAGATGTTGGTTCACCCAAATCAACCTCAGACAGCTGTTCAAATCTGGAAATCATTCTGTTGTTTTCTGTTCAATGCATTCTGTATTGCTTATAGCTTTCAGCTATCAAATGAAGTGAATCTGAAACTTATAGCTCTGAGTATAAAAGGAGAGCACATGAATAGGACTGGAGTTAGTGGGCAAGACAGCTTGCTGCACCACACTGATGATATGAGCTCAGATTGAAAAAGATGTTAAAAAACAATAGCTCAAAATAATGTAGGGAAAGAAAGAATGGCTTTTAGAAACCAGATAATAGGAAGATAAACGCATCTTAATTGCCTCTAGAGACAAGGCTTGAGTGAGGAAACAGGAAAGGGTGCCTTCAGCTCTCCTTCTTGTTACGGTATCAGTCTATCTGGCAAGGTAGAAACTTTGACTTCTTCCCTAGCTAAGCTTAAAAATAATGAATACTGAAAGACTCTACCCAGCAGAGTATTAAAGCAGATGGTGAGACTCACAGCCAAACTTTGGGCAGAGTACAGGGAATCTTCTGAAAGAAGAGGGAGAAAGACCTGAAGGGAACAGGAGCTCCACAAGGAGAGAACAGAACCAAAATATCTGGACCCACGGGTCTTTTATGAGACTGATACTCCAACCAAGGACCATTCATGGAGATAACCTAGAACCCCTGCACAGATGAAGCCCTTAGCAACTCAATCTCCAAGTGGGTTCCCTAGTAAGGGGAACAGGGACTGTCTCTGACATGAACTCAGTGGCTGTCTCTTTGATCACCTCCCGCTGAGGGGTAGGGGGTGGGGGGAACAGTCTTACCAGGCCACAGAGGAAGACAATGCAGCCAGTCTTGACGAGACCTGATATGCTAAGGTCAGAAGGAAGAGAAGGAGGACCACCCCTATCAATGGACTAGGGAAGGGCCATGGGAGGAGAAGAGGGAGGGAGGGCGGGATTGGGAGGGGATGAGGGAGAGGGCTACAGCTGGGATACAAAGTGAATAAATTGTAATAAATAAAAAAATAAAATTAAATGAAAAAATGAATACTTTGTTTAACCTTAAAAACCTATCCTTTTCCCTGGTCAGACTACAGTTGAAACAAACTACAGCAGTAAGTCTCCACACATGCTGCACCTACCAAAGTATATGTTCACTGTCATTTAGGTTAGATAGATTCAGAATTAATAGGACTAGCGGATATCTTCTGGGACATTTAAATTGCTCGGAAACAGAATGTTTCAATTCTTTCAATAAGCATGTTCCGAACTGCTGCTAGAAACATACAATTTAGAAACTGATAATAAAATTAGTCCATCATCTATTTTTAGTTACCCAATAGCAAAGGACCAAAACTTTGCCTGACTGTAAGTTACTATCATCTTAGCGTCAATACTGAGAAAGTAAATTCTGTAGTAAAGTAAAGTACTGTAAATTCCATTTCTATGCCTGAGAGCAAATGAGCCCCCTCTACAAAGAGATATCATCTTAGATAAAGCCACTTACACTACAGTTCTCAGGTGGGACCAGAAGTTGCGTGATCTCACCACCATGAACACAGAAGATATGTTTCATTTCTCCAGAAAATATGTCCCAAATTATGACGGAAAAATCCACACCTCCAGAGATCAGGTATCTTTGGTCATAGCGAACTGAGACCTGATGAGGATACAGTAAACATGTGACTTTGTTCCGATGGCCGCGGAGGGTTCTGTGAGGGGGCCAACCTGTGAAGGAGGTTTGGAATTCAGAATTGGAAAATAAAGTCTTTGCAATGTTTCAACAAGCAAACATGAAATGTCAGAAGAGCTATAACTTTTACTTCTAGGTCAGGTCTGTGCAGCATGGTAGCCACTAGTTACCAAGACTAACAGGCCTTTAAAATGGTGCGAGTCTGTGTGCAAATGTCAAATGTCATGATATTTTAAAGAATTAGAATAAAAAAGAAATAATATAAAATACTTCAATAATAATTCCCATATTTATTACAAATAGAAATGAAAGTAATATTGCTATATTGAGCTATATAACTTGTAATAGTTAATTTCTAATGTTTATTTTATCTTTAATACTGCTATTAGAAAATTACATTAGTTCAACAGCATGGTTTTAGAAAATTATCAACATTGCTGATAATACAGCTATTTAGTAATCAATTCAACTAATAATTTATGAAATTATTAATATATGCAAAGGAGATAAAAACTGAATACTTTCTTATTCATAGCCATTCACAGTATTAATTCCAGATATTTAACATTTTTTCGAATGTACACTAATCAACCAACTACAGTGACAACTGCACCAACTGGTTTTATTTCTTAAACTACTACAGAGAGCTATTTTCAACATTAGGGATACAGACTTCTCAAGACACAGTGGACACAGGGAGATCTGCAGTATACCTCTTCTGAGCATGTGTTCTCCTTGCAGGAGCTGAACTATGGCCGTCTGGGTGGCAGGGACAATAATTATGCTTCCATCTTCCCGGCCACAAACAAGTCGTCCATGTGCTGGTATGTACACACTCGCGGTTACTTTAAGAGGTTCGTTGCTGTTGGGAATCACACTTAGCTGATCTATAATTCCAGCAGGACAAGGCTTCAGTTTGTCAAATGCCTCTTGCAAGCTAATACAAGTTGTCATTTTTAGCCCTGTAGAGGTTTGAAAATAAAATCATAGAAAATAAATACATTTACGTTAAAAAAAATAATGACATCAAATAAATAATTGATTCAGTGATGTACCAAAAGTTTACTTTCATCAACTATAATTCTTAGAGAAAAATGATATATGAATATTTTCAATGTTGTTATGATTCAAAATGTTACATTAAAAGAGTTACGGACTCAATGCACATAGTATTACCTTCATCACCTTCTTGTTTATCAGCTACTTCTGCTATGTTCCAAATATTTAACCTTCCAGAAGAATCTCCCTGAATTAATAGCTTATGCAAATATTCCTTGCAGCCATAGAAGAACCGAGTAACAGGAGGACAAATTACCAACTGCCAAAAACAAAGCAAAACAAAACAAAACAACAAAAAAAAAGTGTCTTTAGTGTATTTAGAATTCAAATATTTTATATATTAACATGTTCATATAAAGCTATTTAGATGCTTTGATTCATACCCCAGTTTCAAAAGTACTTACAGCATGATTATTCAATATATTTTCATGCAATTTAATAGCAAATATGCATGTCAACTGCAGTAGAGCATAAACACTAAAGGAATGAAAACCTGTCTTTTTAGCCTTTCTCTAAAACTGTTTATAGTCATTTGTTCAACTTTATAAAAACTGGTTATCAATCAAAGGATAATTTACTTGTTTATTGTAAAATAATTAATATAGAAATTAGGTCACTCTTAACCAAAAAGAAGTATCTACTTAAAAAATCAAAACTAAAGAGCTCAACACATAAGCAACACTAAATGGACTCAGCAGATTGTATTTATATACACATATATATGTAACACTGCTAATTAAAGAAGAGAAAGTCATTAGGTTAAGAGGGAGCAAAGGGAACATGGGAGAAGTTGGAGATGGCAAAGTATGAGATGAAAATGATATAAATACAGTACTCACATATTAAACTCAAAATATAACAAAACACTAAAATACATCACTTTTATAAAGGAAAAGAATTCATTGATCCTATCTTTCTTGCCTTCTGATAAGTCACTAAGAATAATAACATTTCATTGCATCATGTGAGTGTCTGATGCCTTTGGAGGCCAGAAAAGGGCACCAGATCCTTGGAACTGGAGTAACAGATGGTTGTAAGATGCCATATAGGTTGTGGAAATCAAGCCAGTGTTCTCTTGAAGAGCAGCCAGTGTTCTTAAGAGCTAAGCCACCACTCCAGGCCACGGATTTTTAAAAATAAGGATAGGTTACAGCATTTAATTGGCCACATTAACATAACTTATTTTAACAAACTAACAGAATTTTAGAATAAAATCATAATAAATAAAATTTAGTTTCAAAACTTATAGTTAACAATCTAATTACAGTATTTGATTGCTTCATAAAAAGCACTGGCCTCTAGAAACTAGCTATGTTAAGCATAGCCAAGTATTTAACTTTAAACTTCGATGATTTTAATTCAGAACTACACACTGAACAGGGAGTTGCTATAGCAACTACAATAACCAATATCACATTTCAGTGTAAGAGCATTTCTCATCATATCATACATACATTGCAATAAAATATACTAGTATTTACCAGAGAGCTGGTATTTAAAGAAAAATGTGTGTATGTGACTGTCAACTTGACAGGATTTAGAACCAGTAAAGATAGGGGCCTCTGAATACATGTGTAAAGGATCTTCGGGGTCTGGTTAACTAAAGAAGACCCATATTGGCTATCGTCAGCACCATGTCACGGGCTGGGTCAGGACTACACAGGACAGAAGGCAAGCTGAGCAGCAGCATTTCTGATTATGGAAGCACGGTAACCAGCTGCTTTATGCTACTGTCACTACGGTGACCCCAACATGATGTGCGAGATCCTAATGTTATAAAACAGAGCAAATGCTCCTTCCCTTACATTGCTTTTGTCCAGTATTTTGTGACAGCAACATGGAGTGTAACTAACAGCATATTATATTTTGTTTTATTACTTCAGGTTTTTTTCACACACACCACTAAACTTTAGTTTAGCTGGAAGTGGCCAACTGAGCTGGAGAGTAGCCAGTAGTTCAAGAAAATAATTTTATAAGATTTTAAAGTACACCTAGATGTACAAATTCTATAGTTAAAATAGTCATAGAAAAACGTATACCCTTCTACTTATCATCCCTCCATTCTCCATTGATGGGTGGGACATAAGGTTCAGAATGATAATACTGGAACTCAGAACCAGAAACAAAGTAGAGAAAACTTTCCTTCCCAAAACAAAGCTTTTTTCTTAATAATCCCAGAGACCAAATTGGGAAATCCAATATACATGTTGCTGCATTTCAGTATTTTTAACTTTATGTGTATGACTCTTTTGCCTGCACTTAAGTTAGTGTAGTGCATGCATGCCTGCTGCTCATAAAGGCCAGAAAAGGGTACTGGTTCCCCTAGAATCACAGCCAGCTTCAGTTCTGAGCCACCACGTGGGTGCTGGGAATTGAACCCACATCCTCTGGAAGAGCAACAAATGCTCTTGACCACTGAGCCATCTCTCCAGTCCCTGCATTTCAATTATAAATAAACAATAAAAAAAGGCTTTAAGAAAATTGAGTTTCTATTTTAACATATTAAAATATTTAATATTCATTTCTAATATCCAGTTATTGAGTCACTACTTGATTTTGGAAAAATACTGGAATGCATGAATCAAATAACAAACAGCATCAGTCAGCACTAGCATTAGTTATCCTTGTCTGATCTTTACTCTGTTTTAACTGTATAAAATAAATTGACAGTCAATATGAATTATAAAGAGTCAATTCTAATGCACACTCAAATTAGATCACTTGTATTACAATTACATATTTTAAAATCTACAAATTTTGAAATGTACTTATAGCTCACCAGATCAAAATATTTTTGTGAAATCTCGTGCTGCTAGATTTTATTGTCTTCCAAATGCCTATACACCATCGATTATACATGACACCTTAAGAACTTTACCTGCTCATCTTTTTGATCTAACAGGCTGTGCTGCACAGGAGGAATCAAATTTTCAACTGCTTTCCCCACATCACTGCGGAATGAGTCACTAGCTGGGAGGCAACTGAAATAGGAAAGTAAATATCCACTTAAAACACTGATAGGCAGGCAAGACATGGTGGCACATGCCTTTAATCCCAGCACTTGGAGGCAGAGGCATGCAGCTCGCTGTGTGTTCCAGGCCAGCCTGGTCTACAGAGTCAGTTCCAGGGCAGCCAGAGCTACATAGTGAGACCCTGTCTCAAGATAAAATAAAACACAATAATAAAATAAATAGTATGAAATGTATTATTCCAAGGGTTTATGACAACAGACAAAAGTGGGATTTTTAAGTTTTAATTAATTTAAGGAGGTATTAAATAACTTAGAAAGAAATTCTTAGCTGGGTGTGGGGCACATGCCTGTAATCCTGTAATCCCAGCACTCTGAGAGGAAGAAGCAGGCGATCTCTGTGAATTACAGGCCAGCCTGGTCTACAAAGTGAGTCCATGACAGCCATGGCTACACTGAGAAACCCTGCCTTTGATAAAACAAAACAAAACAAAACAAAACAAAAAAATTCTTTTGAGGGCCCACAAGATGTCTCACAGGTAAGAGAGCTTGCTGCCAAGCCCAACAACTGAAATTTGACCCTTTGAACTTATGTGATGGAAGCAGAGAACTGATGTCCAGGAGTTGTCCTCTGACCTGCACACATGCACAGTGGTCCATGCGTGCACACGAACATAGAGTAAATAAAGAAATGTAAAAACTCCACCTTCTTCGTAGCTAGAAGTTAAACCGGAATTATATATGAACCTTAAGACAGTCTGAAGTTAGACATCTAACTACATGTAAATATTTATATTACACATAAATATTTACACTACATGACTAAAATATTAACTTGTCTATTTCATACCTCGCAGGGAGTTTGTAAATGTAACTCTGCCCATTTTCAGTCCAAATGATGACTTTGTCTGCAGACACAAAGTCACCTCCAGTCCATGTCTGTCCATTTTCACTAGGACCTGAACATAGCAGGGAGTAGTCTCCAGCATCGAACACCTAGTAGGGGAAAGAGAAATTCACAATTTCAACTTACTCTAGCTTGTTGTTTTAAGTAGGATGGAACAGCATTTCAGCTGAAAGAAAACTTCTGAAAGCACATTTAACAGAACCAAGCTTTCAACATATGATTCAGCAGACAAAGATATTTTCTCAGTGAGATCTGGAGCAATCATCATGGGGTCCAGCTATAGGTGACCTCTGACAGTGGACTAGCACAAGTATAGCAGGTGAGCTGCTGACACAGGAAGAGGAATCCTTAGACTTTCCTACGTGGTGGGACATGGCAAATAATAGGTACTCCACACTCTAGAATATATACCATGACTTAATACTACAACTGGTAACACTTCTAACCATATGCTCTGACATTGTAATATTATCTGAACAGTAGAATTATCTTTTAAGATTTATTTATTTTTATGTGCATTGGTGTTTTGACTGCATGTATGTCTGTGTCAGGATGTCTGATCCTGGAACTGAAGTTCCAGAGAGTTGTGAGCTGCCATGTGGGTGCTGGGAATTGAACCCAGGTTAAGACCAACTAGTGCTTTTAAACAGTGCCCCATCTCACCAGCCCCTAGTAGAATTATCT